ACATTAGGGATAGAGTTAGATAGTCTCCCTTAGATGTTTTTCTTTTCTTTTGCATCCTTAAAACTAAAATATTTTTCTTGGCATATGCATATAACATCTAATAATTTTCAAATCCTTTTTCAAGATAAAAAAACATCAACCAATGCAAACTCTTTTTTGTCTTCGGGCCTTTTCTTTTCTTTCAAACCTTTCAAAAAGAACGTGTTAATTCATTTTTGTGCCAACATGTGAGTCTCCAAAGGTCGAGCTGCGGCAGAAAGAGAAATTAATATTGTTCATTAAAAAAAACAAAATAAATCGAAACATGGGAGCCAAACTATGGTGCTCTGATTCCTTAAAAAGGATACGTAGGCATCTGATCACGGGGCTCATCCGAGCGAAACTTTTTAAATATTTCCTTCTTTTCCCCGTGTTTTATTTTGCATGCATTCCCTCTTTGCATTTTTACTTTTAGCTCTTAAGCTTAGATTTGAACATACCCTTTGATTATAACAACAAGAGTGGATACCATAGAGTACTACGAGCGTGTGGGGTGCTAATAACTTCCCATCGAGTAACAAACTCCCTTACCCGATCTCTCGGTCATTTGATCGTGATTTCACCTTTCTCAAGTTTACTCGATGTTTACCTTTCCCTTCCTGTGGGATAAAAAATGTTTGTTGGTGACTTCATTGATTTTATCTCGATGATTTTTTCAGCCGGTTATTTCAACCGTTTCTAACTTTGGTTAGCCAAAGGAAGTGCTTCAAAGTGTGTAACACAGAAGTAGGTTATCTTGATGGTACAGATCTCAATAAGTCCTCTCGAGGAAAGTTCTTCAACAACCCTACAGATTGGGGCAAGGCATTATGCAGGGGTACTCCTTCGTTTTAAAGATGACTAGCTTAAGTCCAGTCGCAAGCTAAATATCTTATGAATGTGATCAGTTATCCTCAACACAAATATCATGAAGTCCTCTCGAGGTGAATCTTTTCAAAGGTCAGTCAATATGAAGCAATTATGTCGAGATTCGAAAAATCTCTCTATGAATCATTTGAAAGCTATTCAGAGCTTGAATACACTGGGGAAGATTATCTCAAGTCAGTACGGTACCATGTTTCTACAAGGACCTTCTCAATATAATTTCCTTCATACTATACCTGGGGCACGTTTGGTTGATTTGTTTTGCAGGAATTGTCATTTGCTCGCTTATGTGCAAATTTCCAATACCGGAACAACATCTTTCAAGGTGGTTACAGTATCCCCAGCTTGGGTCATTTCCCCAGAATAATTGAATTTTCTACTTCTCCATAGTGAGTCTGATCAAGCAAAGGGGTCATGGCTAAAAGGTTTGGCTTACTGAAATTCTTGGATGATTCCTCAGCATTACTTGAAGTTTTCATCTCCCCAGTATCTCCAAGTGGAGAATCTTTGTCTGATAATTTGTGATTGATGAGATTTCTTGGTATATAATCTATATCCTCTATAAATATGCGATATTGTTGAGTTCATAGGAGAATGTCTATTCCCCAAAGCATATATGTCTTGTTCCCTAACCGAGGGTACCGATTGAGAAGTTTCTTATTCCCGTACAAAATTAACTTTGAAGATTTCTCTTATTCCCCAGCAAAGTCGCTTCATGAAGATTTCTTATTCAAGATTTCTTTCATCTTCCCAGTGGAAGCTTATCTTGAGGCTCCTTATGTGTATAATCTTCTATCATCCCCTAGTCAAGTCTTTTAGAGAGTTGTTCGTGTGTTCCAAGCTGAGTCATGTTGAAGCTTATCTCACTCCCCAGAAGAGGCTACTTTCTGAGATCTCTTACTCAGGATCGTTATCTCCCCAGCTAAGTTTACCTATTGAGATCTCTTGCTCAGGATCGTTATTTCCCCAGCTGATTTGTATCATCAAAAGTTCTTATTCAAATATTCTCCCTTTTCCCCAGTAGAATTTGATCCTGGATATTGATAAGTGTCATATCCCCAAAGGAGCACGATATCGTGACTTCTTACTCGAGGTTTCTCGTATCCCCGACATGCTCATTCTTATTAAAGATAGTTCCTAAATTCCCAGTTGAGTTTCTTACGCCAATATTACCTCCTCTCCAGCAAGAGTTCTGTGCACGAGCTCTCTTATCTCTAGTTTGGATCCTCATATCCCCAGCAATTCACGTTTCTGTCATTCCCATGCGAGAGGTTGGAAAATTATTCCTCAAGCAATTAGAGGATAATTTTGATTCCCTGCTGGCCTATATTATTTGTGTCTTCCCCGATAACACCCAATCTTCATTTTGTGTCCCTTATCGGAGTTGCACTTCGACCTGATCTTCTCCAATAGAGTTTGCAATTTATTTTTGCACTCCCCTCAGAGTTTGTAGCATGTTTCTACCAGCTACTTATTTCTCTACTCCCCATAGAGTTTCAGCTTTTCAAGGGCTTCTCTCCAACAGTTCCTTGTATCTTATTTTTTTCCAAGAAAATCATTCATCATCGCATTGCATCCTTAAAGTGTATTGTTTTCATTCGTTTTTGGAACATTACTCCATGAAAAATATAATAATAATAATTCAAAAATGCATTGAAACATAAGCCATCGTTGTTTATATTTTCCCCAGTAGATTTGCTAAAACTTTGGATTACATCGCCAGCAAGATCGCTTGATCCTCAATATTCTGGTTTTCACCCATGCAAATATCCTTTTGATGTTACCATTAGGTGGATGAGTGTCTGCTCACTATCTCTGGTAATGGTCCAGTTTCTCCCTGGCGCAATTTTCTCAAGTTTAGTCTTTACTACCCTTGTTTGTTCATTTCAATGTTTATTGATACACCTTCCGAATACCAATTTTACCCTGATATTCATTTTCAGCCTAGTTTTATCTAGTTGCTCTTAGGTCAAGTTTTATCTCGTTACCTGTACGTGCAAATCAGTTTCGCCCTGATACTCATCTTTGGACTAGTTTTGTTTAGTCTTCTTGAGTCGAGTCTGCTACTCGTTTTAAGTATCATCTCTGGGCCAGTTTTATCTAGTCTTCTTGAGCCGAGTTTTTACCCGTTATTTATCTCTTTTATTCCCTGGGTTCGTTCAACATCGTCTACTGTCTACCCTCGTTTGAGACCAGTAGGTGTCTTGTGAAATACACGAAATTTCCGTCACCTTGCTATAGGACCCAATTTTTATTGATGTCCTATTGAGTACTTTTCAGAGCCTAGTTTTATATAGTTACTCTTACATCAAGTTTTGTCTCGTTACCTTGTTTGCACACCAGTTTGTACCTGGAGGATTCTTTATAATACTCCCGGACGCCGAGTTTATCTCGATAACCTCCACTTGATCCCACCAGTTTTCAACTAGCGTGCTAATGGTATAAGTTCAGTTTTATCTGCCCTTTGTTGATCGAGACCAGTTTATTTCTGGTATACCCGTAAGGATATGATGTCTATTAGTATATTTAGAGTCTAGTTTTATCTAGTCTTCTTAGGTTGAGCTTTATCTCGTTATTACAATGAGTGTTCCAGTTTTGTCTGGGAACATTCTTCTAGAGTCTAGTATTATCTAGTCTTCTTGGGTTGAGTTTTATCTCATTTTTGCAATTTGTGTTCCAGTTTTGTCCTGGCTCATTCCTCTAAAGTCTATTATTATCTAGTCTTCCTGGGTTGAGTTTTATCTCATTTTTGTGATTTGTGTTCCAGTTTTGTCCTGGCACATCCTTCTAGAGTGAAGCTACCGGAAGAAAACATAGAGCCGCCACCGAACTTTATTTATCCCGATGGAAGGGGAAATATCGATAAAACCACAAGGGGATGGATAAGATGGTCTTGCGACCAAGAGAAAGGGTAAGGGAGTCGGTTATGCGAGGGGAAGTTATTAGCACCCCTCGCATCCGTTGTACTCAATGGGATCCATTTTGTTTGTTTGTCTTAAAGGGTGTATTTATCTACAACTATGCTTGCTTAAAGGGAAATGGATGGTTTTTGATTATTGCGTTCGTGAGGGTTTCGCGACCATTTGCCTATGTATCCAATAAAGGAATCAGAACACCGTAGTTCCTCTAGAAAATAGTTTGTTTGTTGGTGTTTTTTAGTGGGCGACGTTAATGCACGCATTCTAGCAATAGGCACGGCCGATATCGCGGTAGAACGGAGATAACATGCCCTTTTGGGGAGTTTTTAATTGGTTGAGTGTTTTTGTTAAGTGTGAATGAGTTTGAACAATGATTAAGTGTTTTTTTGTGGGTTTTTTATTTAAGAAAAGAAAGTTTTTGTTTTCAATTAAAAAGAATGCAAATGAAAAGTCAAATGGAAAAGTCTACCCTAATGTTGTCATGTAATTGATAAACTTAATGTTGAGTTTTTGAAAGGGAAAAATATAACCTAAAATGTTATCATGATAGATCGATCCTAATATCTAACCAACACACAATGATCAAGATGGATTTTAATCGATAAATGGAATCACTTAAGGGAGCGTGTTATCAAGAAGTCGACCCCACAAACGATCAAATAAAATAAAATAAAATAATATTTATGACTTATATTAAATGAATAAAAGTGTCAAAATCAAAAGAGATGTAAAATCTTAATCTGATTTTTATCATTTTATGTGAAGAAATAAAAATATTAAAACATTAACATATTCTAATATTTTTTTTAAATAATTTTTATGAAGTAAATAGATTATAAATCAGAAAGAGGAAAGTTAAAATCCTAAATCTAATATTTTGTAATTTTTGTGCTAAGACATCATGCAAGAAATTTGGTTAAAAGAAAATAAAACTTAACTAAAGAAGGATATCAAATAGGGGGTATACATGCTGAAATCACGTGGGCTTAAATTCAAATAAGAAATCGCTGGGCTTGGGTTAAAAATCGCCCGAAAATGCATTGAGAGAAGAAAACCCTAAAACATTAGCCGCTACATTTCCTTGAAAACTGGTCTAGCATTAATTCAAATCCAATCCTAATTTAATCAATAAGAGTGACATATGGGAAAAAATAGAGTCATACGATTATCTATTTCTTCATGCTAAAATCTTCTACAATCACTGTTACTCATTCTCCAAAATTGCTCCATAAAAAAAACACTAACATTTCTCCCTGTTTTACGATGATAACAACAAAAACTTCATCTTTGCTAATCGATCAACAACAACAACCGTATCCTCCCTATGTTCCAAAACTTTCCGAACAACAACCAACCCTCATCTTTCATGGTTGCTCACTCGGTTATCTCATGGCTTTCAAGCTCTCTCAACCGATTCACCATACTTCACCGGTTTCGATTTGTTTCTCTCTCTCTCTCTCTCACTCACAACTTCTACCGTAAAACCATGGAAATGTCATTACCTACTTCTAAACATAAATTCCTACACCAAACCTACACGAAAATCACTTATACCAACAAATCCTTCATCTAAATTTGCAAGGAAAAATGCTACATAGCAGCATCGATGGTTCTAATTGGAAGCCCTAAGTGTTGGGATCCAAGAAATCAAGGATAGCTTGGCAGAAAATGAAGCAAACAGAGTTCCAATTAGATAAAAATGCATGAATAAGCGTCTAAAAAGTGCGTAAAGAATCGTGTTTCTGGGACCTGAATTCCGATGCAGTGGTGGAGATTCCTGACCACCGTGAAAATCAGGTAATTATACCTTCTTGCCTTTTTCTTTAATAAGTTTCGTATTCTTCTGCTTTACGACTTTCTTCAATGTGTATTTGTATCTATTTATTTTTTAGATAAAGAGCGTTATTGTTCTGTGGTGTTAAGGAGAGTTTGTTGCAGACATTGAGAGATTGTAAAGGTGATACGGTCTTTACAGGCGAATCTGGTTTGTGAAGTTGGGAGTATGAGGTGGGTTAAGAGAGAATAATGGTGAGTTAATTTGTGTCTGTTGATTTATGAAAATTTGAAGTGAGGTTTATGTGAGGGTTATTTTCGGATTGGAGGTGAGGATGAAAGTGTTTGGTTTGGGTGGTTAAGCTAGAGGTTGAGCAGAGTTTTTTTTTGGTTAAGAGTTTTCTCGGTTCTTTTTGTATTTTTTTTTTCTGTCTTTCTTTCTCATTTCCCTCCCTGCTTTTTATTATCGTTCTCCCTCTACATATATTATATCAAATATCAAATTGGAATTGAGGGGGACTTCATGGACTTAAACATATGCAGTAAACTGATTTTTGCTTTTCAGGATGCAGGTTTTGACTTGCTAATTTGGTGCAATGTTGACATATTTTTGGAGGAGAGTGGACAGATGAACATGGATGATATCAGGGCTACATGGTGCAGAATTGAGGTTGGTTTGCATCAAGCTTTTTTAAACAAGTATTCAGACTGGTTTTTTTTGTGGTTTTATGCAGGGCTTTGACTGTCGTAGCAGAGTGACAGGCTATTTGTAGCAGCAGGTAAAAGGGCTGGACAGTTTGGACAGCAACTAATGCAAAGTACTGGACTAGTTTTTTTCTCTTTTGTGATATAGGATAGCCGTACTTGGGCAACAGGTATCGACAGTTCCCCTTTTATTTTTTCGTTTGAAACAAGTTTGGACTGATATGTTTGGCATATTATATGGTTATTCTGTTTTGTTTTGTATGGGTTCATGGGCTGAATTTTAATATTGTTTTTGGACAGGTTTTGTAGGATGATGCAGGGAGGTTTGATGGCTTTGAAATATGGTTTGAGGTTTGAAAAATAAGGCAAAGGCAAGACATATGATCCACGATGGAACAATATATTTTGAAAGCTTGAAGAAAGTGTTTAGGCTTGAAATTAGTGTAGGATTAGAACTTAGGCATCCATGTTTAAAAAACTTGTAATTTTCCTTTCTACTTTTCTTTCAAGAATGACATGACAAAAGAATTATAACTTTTAATGATTTTAAATGAATGAACCTCTAATCTTGCTTGAATGAGATTAAAACTTGAACTTTGAATGATGAATCTTTTTGTATGGAAATTGGATAAGTCTTGACTATAATAGATGTTAGCATAGGACCATTTTGAATGAATTTGAACTCATGATGAGCCTTGTAAATTCGAACGGATAATTGTGTTAATACAAATGGAAATTACTTAAAACTTGAATGATATTATAATGAACAATAAACTTGTTTGATGTCTTAGATGAGTAATGGACAATGGTGATGAATTTTGGTACATGACTATAGAACCTCCAAGTCACGAACTCTCTCTCTTTAGCATTCTTGAGCTGATTTTGAAATCAAGATGTACATTTAGCCTTTCGTACTTGGATCCAAGATGATCCAACTTCAACCTTGTACGCCTAGAACCTTGGCAACCTTGAACCAACCTGAACTCCTAATCTCAAGTGTTCTCGATACGAGTGAACTTGCCTGGCAAGCCACAAGCATTTGAAAGAATAATTATGCTTTGCTCCTTAGGAATCTTCCACCTTAAATCACCTGTATCACGGCTCTTCCTTCCAATGATTCAAATCCTCAAGTCCTTAGACCCCTGATCATAATTTCATTTCTTGCGTCAAACTCCAAATATTCCTGACTCACAAGATTTTCCGTGGGTCCAAAACCCTAGTCCCAGCTCTGTAAAGTCGAGCGAGAAACAACCTTGTATCATCATAAGAAAACAATCCATGATACCTCAAGAATCCACCTCGCGATCCACTAACCAAGAACCAGATGACCTTCCCTTTTACCTGATGAGAAAACTTCAAAACAAAATTAGACATAAAGAGGGCACAACCCTAATACCTTACTCCAAGGCGCCTGATTCTATGAGGTGCGGGATATGCAAATGACTTAGTAAAAATGATGCAAATGGAATGCAAAGTTCAAAGCCGAACAAAAATAAAAGAGATAGGGCAAATTTGGGGTATGACATAGAGTCTATTTTATCTAGTCTTCTTGGGTTGAGTTTTATCTCATTTTTGTGGTCTGTGATCCGGTTTTACTTGGCACATGCTTCTAGAGTCTAGCATCCACTAGTTCTCTTGGTGTAAGCCCAATTTGTACTTGGCTTACTTTTCGAGTCCAATCTCTTTTGGCTCGTCTTTCAAATCCAATCTCTATTTGGTATATCTATTGAGTCTAGTTTTATTTGACACTCTTTGGTAAGATTTCATATTCACTAGTCTCCCCCCTTGTTCACCCGATTTGTTTGGTGTCATCCTTAAAAATTACAATTACTCTTGTTGCTTTACTCTCTTATTCAAGAGCGTAATTTTTTGGGTTCTTTTAGTATTCAATCCTCTTCCACCTTGAACGTTCGAAAGCTGTCGCTTTTTCTAACTTATCAGGGTTAATATAATTGAATAGGGGAAGTTGTTGCACCCTAAAATTTACCCTCTTGTTTTTAGAATTTTAATGGCTTATGTTTCATCATAAACATTCATGCATTTGAGATGGAATCAAGGTATTCTTATATTCATGGTCTTCTTCAAGCTGTAGAAGATGGTTGTATTATCAATCGGTGTGAGGAGGGTTTCATGTCCTCTTTCATTTGCTCATTCAAGTTAAAAAGTCTTTTCATGCCTCAAGGAACCTCTTTTGATTCTTTGTTTCATAAGGGAATTTAGAGTTGCAAGGTTTCGAAGTGAATCACATTTCTCCTATCCTTTGGCTTTTGCGCTAGGGTTTTGATTGATGAAGTGTGTGAGGTCTTTCTTGACAGAATTCATGAAGCATTATCATCATGAGTATTATCTCAGTACACCTTCAATGATCAACTGATATTTATTAGAGATTTTCTTCTTTAATTCCATTCTTATCTTTTTCAAAGATTCTTCAAAGGCAAGATATCATTCTTAAGCTCGGCGATTAAGGAGAGATTCTATGTGGATTTTCTTTAGAAAGGATTTTATCTGGTTTCCATGATCAAGTGAGTTTTGGATTAATTATTGATTCATATTTTTGAGTATAAATTTTGAAGTCTATTATGCAAGAGTTATTGAAGATCTTTGGGCTTTTAGAGTGATTCATTTTTGGGCTTATTAGAGTACATTCTCAAAAAGGCTATTGGAGGGAAAGTTTGTCCTTTTGGCTACATAGAATGTTTTGCACTTTTATTGACAAGATTAGAAGTGAAGAGAGATTACAAGCTTGTTATTTTGAACCAAGGAATTCTATTGCATTATGTATGAGTTTGGTTTAGAGCGTACTACAAGAATTACAAAGCTATTACTCTAAAACCAAAATTACTTTATGTGATGCGGTGGGAAGAATTGACTATTTTTGGAATGCTGGTTTGCGTTTTGCGTTTTGTTTTCGCAAAATGTCGCGGTAAGCAAGAGTCGCCACTGACTTTTATTTTATCCAACAAGGAAAGGAAAAAAAGCACAGAAAATTCCTTTTTCGAGATATTTCTCGGGTTCGGGGGGTAGATTATAGAAAGGGAAGGTGTTAGCACCCTTTCTATCCGTGGTTATCCACGAGCTCTTAGGTACTTGCTCAATTGTTTTCAAAAATTGTTTTCTTTGTGCTTGTGGGTTTGAAAAAGTTTTTGTTTTGAAACTTCGATTTAACTCTTGCTTCTGTCCTCAAGAGCGTATGAAGTGTTTTTTTGAAAACTTTGTTCGAAAAGGAGTGTAAGTGTGAAAAAGGTTTTGTTTTTTTGAAAGAGAAAGTATCTAAGAACCATCTACCTACTCGAAAAAGGAATCGTTCTATGCTAATTTCCTTTAGACAATGCTATCCCACTATTAATGAGTAGGTAGCACCATCGTTGGAGTTTAAGGGTCAATACGAATGAGGGACATACGGTCACTAAAGCAATGTTAGGACGCCTTAGCGGTAACCCTAATGTCTTAGATCATTTGTTTGAGGCAACAATATCCGAGGAAACCATTTCTTGGCGACTATGATCTTTTAGACAAGAGGGTGACCTCTAAAACAACCTATACTCAATGACCGTGTACGAAGGCAACCAAGTGGGGTGTACCCTAAGAGTGCGCATGTGCGAGTGTGTCATTTTCAGTTATTTTTATCTTTTTACATGTTAAGGGTGATCTAACTTTGATTTTAAGATTAACATTCAGTCTTGTCATGCAAACCCTATTATCAAACATCTAGCAGTTTGTAATTTGCGGAAATAAAATGCGGAATTTAAATTACAAGGCATCGAGTATTTACATCGCCAAAGACAAACCCCTTTGAAAAAATAAAATAAAGCGATAAAAATAATTAAAAGTCCTATTTAACTATTACAATCCGGAGGCAGATACATTAATGTGGTAAAGATAAATAAGACGCGCGAGAAATTAGATCGAGTGTGAATTTTAGGGTTTTGACCCTTTGGAAAGAAAAAATGCCACCTGTGATCGGTGGATCTGGAACTGACTGTTTAACGCTGGTTCGCGAAATG